CAAGAAGCTTCTAGTAACAAGTGCCTTACTAGTAGTAACAAGAAGCTAGTAGTAACAAGTTATCACCAGGTCCATCCTCCATCTGTGCTTTGCCCACTCCTTTCTCCTGCGCGGGTCTCGCATGCACATGCATGCACTGTTTTCTGTCACGACTGTTGGGGCGCCTGGAAGCTGCCGATCTGCATTCCATTGATCCTCAGGCTTGCTTTTTCTAATATGTTTGTTTTTTGTGCGCCAAATGTTGCGCACCTTCTGAGCACATCCATGCCAAACATTTTTGACCCCCCCGCAGCTTGTCACTGGCACAGCGGATTTCCCAAGTACGGGTTCTCAAATGTCACGACTTTGTCGCGCAAATGGTACCAGTACGTCGTCAAGTGATCATCACGGAATGCCAACCACGGGCCGCCCTCACGGGCGAGCTTGGCACGGCGCAGTAAACGGCTGGCCTGGCAAATCGGTCGATCGCCAATCGTCGCCCGCTGGCCCGTCCCTACTTAAGTAAGTGGGCACCTACAAAAATAAAAGGGAAGCTACTAGGGGCTCCTGGCCTTACTACTAGGAGCAAGGAGGCTACTAGGGGCTCCTGGCCATACTACTAGTAACAAGAAGCTACTGGTATATGATGACTCATTTACTCATTTATTGATTCTCTTCTCCCTCTCTCCATGGGCACCTCCTCCGCTGGAAGAGGTTGGCCAAAGCGATAGACAGCAGAGCCGTGGAGTTGAAGCTGGGTGTGCTGTTGCCGATGTCCATGGCCATGGCGCTCGAGGAAGGCTTCGATACAAAAGAAATCACCTTCGATGCAGTGCTGGGCGGCCATGCATTGAGTTGTTCCACTTCCAACGACCATTGTGTATGTTCCTTCTAGTAGTGGAACTCAACAAAATTCCGGTGGAAAAAAGAAACGAACTCACTGCCTTGCCGAACTGAAGGCTTTGTAAAGGTCTGCTGAACAGCGATGGGCTGACCAAATGACTACAAAAGACATACCAAAAAAAACTCCCACTCACGCGCTGTCGCCGCTGTCACAAGACTAAATCTCGATGCAGTCAAAGCGCAGCAATCTTCACATAAGACCTCTGCAGGCCTGTCCTTAACTGCCAACAAGCCAGCGACCAAACGCAGCTGCAAACGCAGTCCCAGAGTAGTGTCAAGGCACCGGGTATTCGGAACATTTGATGCCGCCCAGCAGTTGGCAAGGTTTTAGTTGCAGCTGTGGCTGGTGCTGGGCAGCCTTCTCATAGCCACGATCACTGTAGTACTGGCCATCTACCTCACACTGCTGCGTTGGCTCCACGCAAACACTCTGTGGCTGGTGCCAATGCCTTTGTGGAAACCCGAATCATCCTGTTTCAAAAGAAATGCTAGAAACCCATGTCGAATCATTAAAGAGATTGAAAACAAATACAAATTTTAACAGTATATAAAGCTGTATATAAAATTCCTACAATACGAAGAGTTGCAGTGGGCGCGTGTGTGATCATGGGCAAGGATTCATAACTCGCTACATGATGTCAGGGGTAAGAATGAAAGCAAACATGTCCAGAGACAAGTATTCAAAAGCAATGATTCTAAAGAAAAGCAAAGCACTACCCATATTACATCATCAACCACCACACGTTCTCATTTCAAACCACCACATGAAAACTTTACCACGTTACACGGTAAAACATCAACAATGATCAGGAATCACAACGGCGGCATAGCCTGCGCCATCGACCCACACATCACCCAATCGCCAAAAAGTGCACATTGAAAAACACAGACACCTGACACCTCACAGCATTACAATGCACCGCATGCCACTTGCTACCCTCTCACCCAGGCTGTGCGACCCTCTTGTTGGACACACTGGAAATCTTCTGGGATGCTGCTGTGGGACGTTCTTGCACGACACTCTTCTAGGACACTCTTGTGAAAAGCTCTTGTGGGGCACCCTTTCACCCTTCACCAAGTGAAGAGAGTTGTGACCTCTGGCTTGCGCCTGGCATGTCGGTCAATCTGGGAACCTATGTGGCTCGAAAGAAGCAGACCCTAGAGCGACAGTGATCGTGGCATGTGCCCCACGACAAGTGCCCGCAAATCTTGGGGAAGTTCCTCCATGATGCAGACAAACATCTTGTTCCCAAATTTGAATCGCAGTGCTCCAAAAGGGACTCAAGAGCAGTAGATGGCTAAGAGCGCACATATTTCCCTGCCCTTGCCATCCTAAATTTCGGCATGGGTAAGATGAGATAGGAATGTCCTAGCTAAAAAGAGGGAGATGTCAAATGAGATTGTTTTGGGGTCAGCAGTGTCCTAATGTGTTTTTGCATCCTATCTCATGTGTGCATTCTGACCTGGTACCACTGGTGTCCAAATCATCTGGCTCTTAAACAAAGAGGAATGCAGTTGTCAGGGCCGAACAATGTGCAAAAGAACGTTCGGAATGAACAGTTGTCGTATGGCCGTTTATTCAACCCTTGTTGACAAACTAGCTAAGCAGCTTAGCCGCTCTTTAATTCTACTTCAATTCTACTGTACATTCTTTTGGCCGACTGTCGCATCCCATCTCATATTGTCTTGACTGTGGCACAGTTCCCAAAATTGAAAGTCTCACAGCAGTTCCGGACATGCCAAGGAATCTAGCATTCTGGCAGTGCCAGGACACATGAGATAGGTTTACAGCAGTTGTTTTTCGAGTACGCTTTGGACACAAAAACCGGTAAGTACCTTGCACTAGTGGCATTTGACAGTCGCACCACATCTGCAGCTAGCATAGTAGTTTTATCTCCGCAAAACTTGTCGTAGTCGTATTTTTAATATTCCAAAAAAATGGATTTCTGATTCGAGAATTCATTTTATTGCTTGGCCACCAGGGTCCCAGAGGAGCGGTGGCCAACGAAGACCTGCTCTGGAACCCGTGTCAAGGTACCTGCTCAACTGGTTGCCTGTTGTTCTTGCTGTATGAGGCAAAGGGGCAAACCTCTTGTTTCAGTCCAGCATCGTTCTTTGCGCTTGATCTTTAGACTAATTTGAACTTGAGCTTTTGACTAGGAGCAAGGACGCTACGAACGGGGCTCCTGGCCTTACTACGAACGGAGCAAGGTTCGCTACGAACGTAACAAAGGGCATCGCTACGAACGGAGCGATCGGACGCTATTAGAAACAAGTGCCTCGCTAGTAGTAACAAGTGCCTTACTAGTAGTAACAAGACTTTCCGCGTCTAGTTGTTTGAGCGTTTAACCCGTTGAACTTCGACCTTTGAGGCTTTTGGAATGGTTGAAGCCCACTGCACACTACCCGTTCTACTCGGGCAATGTTTTCCCTAAGGTCTCGTCAGGTACAATGTAAGTTACATGCAAATGCACATGTAATTACCTGAACTCTTAGGTTTCCTGGTTACCTAGGCCTCTTCAAGTGGCAAACCACATTTCGTACTCTGTGTGTTGTCTTTCTGTTTGGTGATTGGTGAGTTTAATTGGATGCTTTTTGTGCGCACGGCTACTTTCTTCGCATTGTCGTTGGGGGGTGGACGACGCGCCGACATATGAGCAAGCCAGCTGCGCATTTGCAAAAAGCATGAAGTGGAATCCGGTTCTCTTGCAACATGCGTGCTCTGTTGACCGTTTCCACAACAAGTGGGTTTGCCCGCTTGCCCGTTGGTTTCTTTCAAATGTGTCATTTTGTGGGTTGCTAAGCTTTCAGTGTAGCAACATGACAGTAGCAGACCAGTCTCAGTGACCTTTTCTGGTGGCAGATCACGCGAGACTCATTCGTGAAGAAGGTCAGACTCGGACAGACTATACTGGACTATACTTACCAATGTCAGATTGCAACTGGCTTTCCAGAACGCAGAAATGCGATGAGTCTGATGAGCCAGTGGCGCGTATATGATTTATCTGATTTTGGCTCCGCATCGGCAATATCTGTTGTGCAACACCAAAGAAACAACAATATAACATAGCATTCATGCAATATTCCTCCGCAAAGCAATGCAAAGCCCGCGAAGCCTCCCAGGATTCCGCTTGAATGTTTCGGCTGATACCTTTTCCATAGGAAACGTAGTAGGAAACGTACTAAAGGCATTCTGTTGACTTTGTTGGGTGGTTCGCTTCAAGTCTTTGAGACGGAGGACAGCCACCTCCAGAACGAGACATTGGATGCATTTCATGCGGAATATGAAGTGATCGAAGTTCCGGCCGTGAAGGTTTGAGAGGATAGATGCATTACTAGCTTCTTGTTACTACTAGTAAGGCACTTGTTACTACTGGCGATGCACTTGTTACTACTAGCGATGTGATAGTTGTGAAGGTTTCTATGAAGCTGTTCAGGGTCGATGTGAAAGTTGCAGCACGGTTGGTGCGCTGGCGATGTGTTCACTCGACGCATTGTTTGATGGGTGGCAAACCACTTGGCTTCCCTGTCGGCGGAAGAATGCCATAAGAAAGGTTGCGGGCCGCCCTGACTGCCATGGGAATCAAAGTCTCGGTATTTCTTGTTGTCATGTGCTCTTGCATCCACACCTGCTTGCTGCTTTGATGGTGTGCTCTTTTCTTTCGCATTCGCTGAAAGTGATTCGTCTGCAGTTAGCCGATCTGGAATTGTTAATTTGGACATGGAGGCATCTCAAATGGTATGCTCAGAACAATATTGAAACATATTAAAACATGTCCTGAATCAACAATGGCAAGGCATCCCAGCACGGCAACGACTTTTTGTCGGTTCAAGAACATCCGGGGCCCGAAAGTAAAGAGTATGTTTGCTCAGGGGACTGGCTCAATGATGCGGGCAATGACACACTTCTCTTTGCCGAGGGCTGGTTTGCGATTTACTCTCACTCTTCCATCAGAGTCGAAGGTTGAGTTGATACTTACAGCACATGCATGAAGAGCTTCCACCTATTGTGCTAGGATGTAGTGTCATCGGATATCGCGGTGGGAAGAATCACACCACATCACAAACCGACACCTTACACTACACCGCAGCACACATCACCACCACATCAAAGGCCAGTCATCACACTATTCTTCACCATCTTCAGTGCATCACAAACCATCACCCGTCACGTCACTACAACAGAAACCATCAAACCGCATCACTTAATAACATGTCAGTACATCAAAAACCTCATACGCAACACCACCCCGACGCAAAGTGCTACAAATGCAGAACAGCTTCAAAGCAGCAAAAATAAAACGGGCAACAAACAATAATGGCAATCGTCTCTGCCATCATTCTCATCAAAAAGACTGTCCCTGGTCGCCCTGCCGCAGGTTACCCTGTATTCTTTGCTACCCGGAGGAAAGAAGGAAGAAGGACAGAAGGGAAAGGTTTATTAACGGTCTAAAGGGCAAAAATGCGAAACGAAACAAGAAAGTGGCATTCTGTTTGCATTGTGGAAAGCGGCCTCGCAAGTCGCGGGCTCCCAGGGAAAAACCGAACACGCACACCTGAGTTGGTTGAAACTGAACATTTCCAACTTTAACACATCTTAAAATCAAAGAGTGCCAGTAGAACTGTAAATGTTTCAATTCTTCCAAAGTCTTCAAGACTCACTATGAGGCAAAGCACCAAGCAAAGCATATCTTTCCAGGGCACTGTGCCACCTTGAGTGGGTGGTGTTTTCGGCGTGTGCCGGATGCGTGGCACTTCTGGAAGCCCTCGAGGGAAAAGAAATCCATACACTCCTGTCAAAGGATGTCTTGTTTAGGAAAAAGTTCTTCTTTTAGACCTTTCTTGTTTGGTGTTCTTTCTTCTTTGTTTCTAATAGCGATGGCCTCCAACCTATTAGCAAACTACAGTGGACCTTTCTTCCTGTTGTTCTTTCTTTCTTTAGACCTTTGTTTCTTGATTCACCTCACCTGTCAAACACAGCCCGAAGTGTTGCTAGCCCGGTCTCATCCGTGTTACTTGCTCCGATGTCGGTGTTTGAAAATTCAGATGGGCGGTCCTCGCACTTCACTGCTGCTGGGAGATCGTTAAATTCTGAGCACATGATGATGCTATCTTGTTTGCTTAATACTTCCAGTTGTATCTGTTCAGATCTCAGCTGCTTGATGAAGCCATCAAGGTCTGCCTTTTGCCCGGTAGAAACAGAAATATCATACTGATCTTCGGCAAAGCTCTCGATTGCAATCTTCACCTTGGCTTTTCTGCTCTCATGGGGGTGTGGTAATGAAAGAACACTCTGTTGGCCACAGGCCTCCCTCCCTTGCTTAAGCAAACACAAACTTAGCTGGCTAATGCTAGCTTTGGTGATTTCATGCGCTTCGAGGAGAATCAGCGGAGTGAGAAGCAAGTGGAGGTATGAATTCAGTGAAACTCTAAAGCCAAGGCACTTTTGCTGATAGAGCAAAGTCACTTGCGGTGTCAATTGCTAAAAGAAGAGCTGCCCGCTCCTGAGGGACAGAAATGCACCCTAAGATGTCAAACTGTCTTAAGACTTCTACTAGGAGCAAGGACGCTACTAGGGGCTCCTGGCCTTACTACTAGGAGCAAGGACGCTACTAGGAACAAAGGGCATCGCTACTAGGAGCAACGACGCTATACTGATGTTTCAAACAAACATGTTCACATGTGCAACACGTGGCTCCAGGAGCTCTGGGGTCATGGGTGGAAGCTCTCTGTGGCATCGGTTTAAGACTTCATTGAGCACCACTCCCAGGTGTGCCCGGATCTTGGATGCATTTTTGAGAGCCTCCTTGGTCGAGAGAGACTCATAAAACTTTTGCAAACGTTGTGCGTAAGCCTTGAACCTTGCCAGCATCGGATGCTTCCTTGTAACTACACGCCTCCCCTCATGGTAGTAAACGGGCTGGCCATCATCATCATCAAAAGTTATCCATCCCTCTGGCAGTTCTACTCTCAAAGCTGCTTCAGCAAGCCAAGCCAAGTTCTCATCTTTGGGAAAGTCGTTCTCCGAGTTCTCCCAGAGTTGCGTTTCAGGACAGCGCTTTTGTTCATGTCGCGTTTGCCCCGTGCTGATTGCTTTCTCCCGACTGACACGTTCAGAGGCGGTATGTCCCCCTTGGGTCCTAGGAGCACCTCCCAGCCTGTCTTGAGATGGTTTAAAACCTTCGAGGCCAATCTTCAATCCTGGTGAAGCTGCCCTTGTGGCTCTGCAGCGACTGCCGCTATGACCCTCCTGAGGTCGTGAGAGCGCCCAATCCGCATCTGAACGCTCTGAGATCTGAGAGATGGGAACTTCTGGCGTTCTAAGCCTCGGTGGATCAGGCAAAGGGCTTGGTCGGCTTCGATTTCCAGTCGGAGAGCTGAAAAGACTGACAGTGGATGCTGGAGAGCATGGCGTACATGCTGTAGTGGTGGCTTCGCTATGTGGGCCAGTTGGGTTGGCATCGCGCCCAAGAAAAGCTAGCTTGGCTCCCGGTAAATTCTTGGGAACTTGGCTTGCTGTAAGTTGGCTGTCTGTGACGATTGGACCTGTTGGAAAGGCTCGATGCGTTGTCCTTTCCGAATCTCCAGCCTGGCCAATCTCATACGCCTTCGTCAGATGCTTCAGGAAATAGCCACACTTCTCAGGTTGACCAACGTAGTGTCCAAAGGCGCGGTCACCTCCATCATCACTGATGACCTGGATGGCAATGCTCTTCTTCAACAGGAGCGGGGCACCCCATGCCTTTGGCCACTGGATACTCTCAGGGTCAAAATCCGATGTGGCTATCACACAACTGCCTTCAGGTAATGGAACACGACGGTACTTCCAGGCAGGCCTATTCCGCTCCCATATTGACGCGGCACCTCCCATTGCTCCATTCTATTTCACAGGTCTTTTTGCCAGTGAACTAGCTCAATCACCATGATATCTGTCAATGTTGCCCTGGTGCTGGTTTGCGATTAGATTAGATCCGTCTCCTCGAACCCGTTTGCGCAATGGTTTGGCACAAAAGCTGCAAAGTCCAGAAGTTCTGACACCAAACACTTCACCAAAAAAAGAAAGTCCGCAACGGAAAAGCCCTCCCTCTCATGAGTCTGAAGGATAGCTCGGATTTGGACAGCAACTTTCGGATCAGGGCCTCCTTCTGACCTGACATACTCTACTTGAGGTGTCATGGTGGCGTTTCGAACCCCCATGCGGAGGCGTGAGGCTCAGACTGGCTGGCCATTTTTCAGGCAACCCACTTCCGGAGCGCACTCCAGCAACCTGGTGATCAGGCTGCACGTGTTCGCAATTCAAAGCTAACAACCTCGACACAGCATGACACAATGCTGTTGAACTGTTGAAATAGGGTTTTTGCCCTGGACTCCCTGTACGCAAGCCTAGCACGCACGAACTCGTCCGAATGCCTCCTTGCCACCTATAAGAACTCGTTCCCTTGGAAGTGTTTCTCACTCTCGCTGACACCCGCTATTAGGTTAGAGGCCATCGCTATTAGGTTGGAGGTCCCTCCTGAGGCTCTTCCTGTCTATCTCCACGATGTTTTACGAGGCGCGCCCTTCTCCAAAGATCGAGGGTAGTGCCAGTACTGCATCTGTCGCAATGGCTGGGTGTGATATCAAAATCTTGATTCAGGGAAAGCGACAATTCATCATGCAATTAAGATGTACTTTCAGCCCTGCAGCAGAGGAAGTACAGTTGTCTCGCATCCGGGAGACCGGGAACTCAAACAGGGGTCCGAGCATGGCGAAATGCTCAGAAATCTGAAATAACAAATGGTTCTTCTGAATGTGCAGGTGGATCACAAGTTGAGCATGAAAACCAAAGTTACAAGCCTCTCAGCTTGAGGACCCCTGCGGGGACTAACGGGCAACAAATTCTCAAAACGGAAAACGCCATCGCGTTTTCTAAGAGTCCGGAGGGCCACTTCGGCCTCCATTCTCTGACCAATTCCGCCCCAAGTTCAAAGTGCAATAACAAAAGGCAAACATGTTTTCGAAAAAAAAATGTTAATTTTAGCATAAAGCTTAATCACAAACCATCTAAACTGGGCTCCAGATTCACTTGCAAAGTAGATTGGCTGCAGATCTGCAGGTTGGATGACTGGCTACTTTATAGATTTTCTAGCGTCACAACATGTGAAAAACAATAGGCAATTCATGGAAGAGTTTGGAAACTCTTTAAGCCCTGTACCGAGAACAAAGTTTGAAGCTGTCTTGGCCAAATTCTGCATCATCCAAGTCGCATATCTGTTAACGAATTGCCCATGGACGCCATGGATTGCTCTAGATTTCGTTGAGGTATTCAGCACTGCCGAAAATCAGTGGTGTCGTTATTCTATGAATCCATATGAATCCCGATACCCACCATTGAGACTCTTTCTTCTTTCTGAGCTGTCACCTTGCTACGTACATATCGACCCTTTCAACATACTACCTTTGCTCCTAATTGCGCCTGTTGAGGCATACTGTTGCCTTTCATTCCCACAAATTGGAAGAACTTTTTGTGCTTGTCGTTTCGCCTGTTTGTTTGTTCTTTCTTCTCGTTAGTTTTTTTGTTCTCATCTGTTCCTTTCCGTGTACCTTCTAGACTTCTGGACATTTGTAGACCACACTTTGCGGCTTCAGAGACGGCAGTGAAAATTGCCAAAGGAAAACCTGACAGCGAATCCGTCAGGAGATGCTGCCAAAAACTTGGCAGAGGACCACGCACGGCTGCAAAACCCTGCACGGCACATCGTCATGGAAAACCAAGCGCTGAAGCGCTTCGCAAAGTGTGTCTCAAATTCGACAGCTTTGATGCCAATGCGGCATTTTTGGGTGGACAGCATGACAGGCAAGTCTAGGCGTCTTTTAGTGTTTCTTGAAGGCTCCGGACTCTGCGTTCTTCCTAGAAGCTTCTTGCTACTACTAGTAAGGCACTTGTTACTAGTAGCGTGGCACTTGTTACTATCCAAGCTTGCACAAACATGCTGGCCAAGGTGGCGATCAAAAAAAGTGAGCGTGTGTATCTCGAAAGATGCTTGGGATCGTGGTGCACCAGGAACGCACCATAGAACAAGCAACAGGACTCCATGAACAACAGCGTCGATGTTGAACATTTTGGTCTATTACTGTTTGAAGATAGGAGGCAATCGCTTCTAGGCTTGAGGCCATCGCTAGAAACTTGGTGGGTTGGAGGCCATCGATCTTAGATTGGAGGCCATCGCTAGTAGGTTGGAGGCCATCGCTAGCCGCTAGTAGGTTAATTCCTTCTTTCTTCTTTTGGTATCGTCTTTTTTAAGAACATGGTTTGAAAAGCCTTTGGGCTTTAGGTCTTGGCCCTTTGTTTCCACGGCCCAAGCAAGGAACCAAAACCTTCTTGACCGCTCAGCCCCCAAAATTAATGAGCCCAGTGGGAGCAATTGCGAAACGAGCCTACTTTGATCGGCGGGGCTCAAGATAATTCGAAAAATAAGCAGTCCAAAGCCTTTGGCGAAAGACTGCCTTAAGATCAAGCTTGCATATCGCAAACACGCTGGCTTCTGAGCGTCCAAAACTTCTCAGCATCGCTTATTCGCTTCTGCTTTGCCTTCCCAAATGTCGACAAAATATGTTTGTGCCGTTTCTTTCTCTCTTTGCTGTTGCTCTGAGAGCACACATCCCGGTGCGAGCCCGTTAAGGACGCCACCCGGTGCCAATCCCGAGGATAGCTCCAATGCCTCACTGCTTGCCATCCACTTCAGGAAACCAAAACACAAACAAACGAACTGGTTTTACTAATATTGATAGTAGTAATAGTGCTTTTAATAGTGGCAGGCTCAGTTCGGGAACATGTTCGTTTTCACAGCACTTTGGTGGCATGTATGGCAGTTTGGTCATCACTAATCAAATTTTAAAAAAAAAGAAAGATGGTCAGTGTTTGACAACATTTGGCAACATTTGGGATGCCCAGTGTTGACCTTTCGTATCAAGTCCAGGCGAGGCGTCGCTTCCGCGTGGCTCAACGAGCTCCGCGGGCCCAACAGTGTCAAGGGAGTTCGCAAGAGTCCTTGCTACTAGCAGTAAGGCCAGGAGCCCCTAGTAGCTTCTTGTTACTACTAGTAAGGCACTTGTTACTACTAGCGATGCACTTGCTACTAGTAGCGATGCCCTTCGTTACTAATAGCTTCTTGCTCCTAATGGTAAGGCCAGGAGCCCCTAGTAGCTTCTTCCTAGTAGCGATGCCAGGAGCGCCTAGTGGCATCTTTGCTAATAATGGCCTCCACCCTAAGAGCGATGGCCTCCAACCTAGTACAGTAGCTTCTTGCTACTAGTATCTATTGGTTCTCTCAGAAAATATAGCAAACAGGATGTCGCACGGGGATTCGCAAACATTCTCTCCATGAGCCTGCCTGGCTCTGCCTACATCAAATACACCTGCCGTCAGGCGAGGTGTCGCTTCCACGTTCCCACGCCACGCTTAAACCTTCCTCTTGTTTCATGTTGTTTTAAGTTAGACCTCCCTCAGGGCATTGCTACGATCGGGGCTCCTGGCCTGCAAGGACGCTATTAGGAAGGAGCATCATCGGCGCTCTTATTTCGGCTCCACGGGCCGAACGAGTGGGGTTTGTCTTCATTAGTAACAAGTGCCTCGCTAGTAGTAACAAGTGCCTTACTGGTAGTAACAAAAAACTTTTTGAATTAACTTAAAATTAAGTTAATAGCTTCTTGTTACTACTAGTAAGGCACCTGTTACTAATAGCAAACATTGTTACTTTCGGCTCCACGGGCCGAACGAGTGGGGTGTGTCTTCATCTGCCTCTCCCGTCTAAAACATCAGTCAAAAAACTATCTTGGAGACTCAAGGAGCTTCTTAGGTTGGAGGCCATCGCTCTTAGGGAGAGGAGCGGGCTAAAAAGTCAAAAACTGAGCAAATAGAACGTGGAAATGGCTTGATGAGCCAAGTCTTGCAAGCGGATCTCCGGTCTGTGCAATTCACTTGTTGCGGCTGATGCTGTTGTTGTGATTCTGGCTGTTGTCGTTAATGCCTTGGCTGATGCAGTCGCAAGTAGTCGTCGTGGCTGACCGCTGGTAGTCCTTCGGCTTTTGTTCTTGCTTTTGCGGTTGTTTCTGCCCGAAAAAACCAGCAGGCACCCAACATAGTAACATAGTAATATTCACGCGTGGTACATCTGGAACATTAGCGGGCATTCCAGCTTTGTTTGTACGTCGGTGTTGTCGTCGTCCATGCTCATTGCGTCAACATGGTCGTCATTGTGGCTGTAGTTTCCCGACGTTCTTTGTGAGGCGTTGGTGCCTGCTGTCTCATTGCTGGCTTTCCTTTTGTGCTGTTCGGCCAACTGTTGTGAAGACGTTGCTACACTTGAAGTCAACGCAGTTGTAGTTGTGGGTGCGTTTGCGGGTGGATACAATAGGTGAAGTTTGCCAATTCGTTGGTGACTCTTCGGATATGTGAAGTTTTTGGCGAGTTTGTTGTTTCTGGTTTTCTTATATAGAATGTGTTCTGGCCTTCAGAGTTTGTCTGACAACGCCACTGTTGTAAAGGGTCTGGGGATTGACTCGAAGGCCTTGCACACTTGGGCGATTGTGAATTGGTGAATTGTCCGAAAGAGGTTCAGGTTGTTGAAGGTTGCTACATGAACCCGAAATCCCTAGGAATGAAGTGGCTGATAGGATGGCCAATCGCATGCTGCTGCGATGTTCAAGCAGTGTGTTGACTTTTCCGAACTCCAGGTTCACCTAATCACTCAGTTCGTTGAGCACTCCTCTCCCGTGCGCTTTTGCAGCGGTTGCGTCCGGTTGCCCTCAGAGCATATCACAGTGAAAAGAGGCTTTTCTGAACAAGTGCATCGCTTCTAGTAACAAGTGCCTTACTAGTAGTAACAAGAAGCTATTAGTAACAAGTGCCTTACTAGTAGTAACAAGAAGCTATTAGTAACAAGTGCCACGCTAGTAGTAACAAGTGCCTGCCGTATGGCAGCTTTTGCAAGATCGCTGCCCACGCTTCACAGCTAGGCGTCATGTCCGAATTATACCAACATATACCAACTGTGCCCATTGATGTGAGATGAATAAGGGAAGAACAAAAGGACGCTACTAGGAGCAAAGGGCATCGCTACTAGTAACAATGTTCACTACTAGGGGCTCCTGGCCGTACTATTAGGAGCAAGGTTCGCTATTGGAAACAATAAAGAGATATAAAAACAATATTATTAAAGGAAAATTCGTGTTTTTCTAAGACACAAAAATAGCGATGATATGTTTCTCCTTTGACCGTGCGTTGCA